TATGGGACACATATCGTTCCAACCTAGTAAGAAAAAGGAAGAGACCAGCTTGAACATGACAAATATTATAAGCTGTTTATTTTTCTAACTTATTTTTTTTTTAATCCGTCTCGGATTGAAAGGTAAAAGGAAAGAGAAAATAAACTACAAAAATACCGAGATTAAGTCTCTATTTCAAAACTTCACTTCAAAAAACTATAACTAGGCTGAAAACAAACGCATAAATTGTCTTCTAAAACTTTACTATACTATTCTTATACGCAGTGCCGTTAAAAAAGCTTGTCTTTTTGCATTCGTATCAATAAAATTTGTGGCGCTCTTTATTGAAGTTGTTTTTTTCTTAAGCGCGGCAAATGTTAAAGAAAATACTTGTGTTTATGTTTCTTGTTGTGTACGTGTAATCCAGTTGGGAACAAAATGTTTTCTAAGTTGCTTTATTTTTGACAAATCGTGGCATGCAATAGCCACAAGCAAAACTGTTGTTATTTGTCATGGTGCGATTTCTCCGTGCTTTTAGCACCCGCTCAGGAGAAAACGGCCAATGAAACATCGAGCATTTCGATCCGTTTGCAAATTAGGCATCACAAATTTTCCTATAAATTGCCAGACCCCAAACACTCTGAACTTTAAACACGTTCACTCGTTGAGAAGAGAAACATCGAAAATGCCGCCTAAACGTTCGGGAAAGAAGGAGGAGAAGATTGCAGGAGGAAAAGTGGAAAGGAAAAGCGGAGAAGGCAAAGAAAAGGGGCGAAGCAGAAGACGCAGAGAAAGTTATTTCAGTTACATTTACAAAGTTCTAAAGCAAGTTCATCCCGACACTGGTATCTCGAGCAAAGCCATGAGTATTATGAACTCGTTCGTTAACGACATCTTCGAGCGAATTGCAACCGAAGCTTCTAGACTCGCTTCGTACAACAAGAGGTCGACCATTAGTTCCCGAGAAATTCAGACCGCCATACGGCTGCTTCTGCCTGGTGAACTGGCCAAACACGCCGTGAGCGAAGGAACAAAAGCTGTTACAAAGTACACAAGCAACAAGTAGACGAGATGGAAGCAGGTGGAAG